CATACTTACAGCATGTCTCAGCAATCATATCTTTATCTGTGTGTGTAGATGTCAGTGTTACAATGAACCCATCATTCTGCCTTTTGCCAATTCCACAGTTACACTGCTCTCTGTACACAACACATATTGTGTCCATTTCCCTAACTGTGAATGGAGTAGCTTCATGTATTGACTTCCTCTCTTCCTCTAAGTCCACAGATAACAGCCTGCATGGAGCCACAGAGCAAACACAGCCATTCAGAGGAGAGCTAGAAACAAACTGTCAGCATAAGAAACCCATTCATATTACGCTTAATGCTTCTCTAGAAATAACATATTTAAGACAAAATAATCAAAACCTGTTTCATTTCTGATGCAGCAGTGATTGAATTCGGGCAGATGTCAAGCTTTCAAACACTGGACATTTGATTTTGACATTAAAAAAATTAATGCCAGTCTCACAAAACACATTTTTGTTTTTTTAACACATATGTTGAGTTGCAGGTCCAACAATATTGTCTTTGACTACTGAGGAAAGTTGTAGTGAAGACTGAAAGTTGTATCACATTAAATCAGACGGCTTGTTTTCTTACCAACCTTTATTTAAATGGATAATCTTAGTGGGAAACTGCCAAGGATTTCAATGTGCAATTGAACACACAAGTTCATGTTTTAGATCCATGCCTTGACAGGGGGCATGTAGAATTAGTCTTTGATTAATGATACATGTAATATGGTGTCAGTGTCGCTGCCACATAAAACTTTTGTTCGTTAAGGCAAGCTGCACATATTGTTTATATAGCATGCAAAAAAAAGACGTCCTTATAATTCTTCTCATTTCCTGGATGATCCAACACTTATCATAACTCTTAGCCATTCAACTGCTGCAAAACCTCCAAGATGATTCCTGGCAGAGAAGCCCATTATACTTGAAGCTGTATCATTTCATTATAATTAAGGTTGGCAGTGAATTTCCCCTCTCATTCACGTTTTGTCTCTTTCAGAATGGTTCTCTCCTTCTTTTACATTTAATGTGCCATAAGAAAGGGTAAAAACGTGGTTCTAGAAGAGAAGGGTAAGATAAAATACTTCCTCTGTCCTCTAATACTGGACGGAGGCCAGGGTGGAGTGCAGTGATTGGATAATAAAGATAGTCTGAGTCCAAAAGATGAGGCCAACAAGCCCTGTGACAGAGAAGAGGGTGACCTCAAATTAATTGGACATGGGTCAATGGGGCGCTTTCGTAATCTGTGTGTAAGGGTGGGTGGGTGTGCTCCTTTATCGACACCGTGCTCCATTGCTCTCCATTGTCTGTTCTCCCGAGCCACTGTTTCTAATAGCAAATAAACACGTTTGAAATTAAATAAACAGGATTTTCAGCTACCATTCCCAGAGGACAGATTCCTGACAGTTATTAGAAAAATGAGTATCACTTTCAGGCTTTGATAAACTAATTAAAAAGGGTTTGCTTGTCTTTCACCTGGGGGGGGGGCTACAGAGAAAAGAAACAAGAGATAGAGAGAGAGAAAACACAAAGACAAACAGATCAGGAGGATATAAACCTTATCTCTCCGTTTGCGAACGCTCCTCGGGGTCTGACTGTTTGGCCTACGAGAGGCACCGGAGCGATGGATAACAGCGAGGAATGACGGAGGGATGAGAGCAGAGACAGGGCCTCAGGGAGGAGAAGTGATAGAGCGGACTCACCATCCATAAAATTAATTATTGAAAACACGAGAGAATGATATTATTGTGGATGTAACTGGAATAGAGAAGACAAACAGGCTGTGTCAGTGTGAATGTCAGAGAAGGATCCTCAGTGGCTCACGGGAGAAAAATATCTTGAGAGGGAGGAAGGCTATCGACTATCACTTACACACTGAACATTCTTCACTGCCACTACACACACAAACACACTCACACGCTTCTCTGAAAAGCCCTGAAAGAGGATGCTGTGTGAAGTTGTTGCAAGTCATTTTAAAAGGAACAGTATAAAAAGCAAATAATCAAACATTCTTTGAAGAGAGCTTCAGAGCAAAAGAGCAAAGATGCTTTTGAGGACGACGTGCACCCACAAGAGGACATTCATCTCAGGTGGACGTTGCTAATTGTAACCGTTTTAATAAAGCTGTACATGTGTATGATTCAAGTCATCTTCTTGGAGAACTGAGAGAGCAGAAGTGAAATAGAATATGCATGAATATGGTTTTGTTGGAAGTAACACACAATGAGTTAAACACTCAGTGAAACACACACTGTTGCTGATGTACAGACAACTCTCTCTAACTGCGTCCACCAACACAAATAAAGGACATTCAGCCAAAGCAAGCCGCAATATCCTCATAACAGCCAGAGTTATCCAGCTGTAAGGTCTTCATCGGGGCAAGAGCAGATCAAATATGGTGCATCAGGAAAATGTCGAATTATTTCAAGCCTTCTGTGGTGACGTTCATCATATTTCATCAAACTAATTGTCTGATCTACGCAACCTTTGCTAGTTCTTTGGCACAGTATCGAGTGAATGGTTTGAATTCACTAGGTCTTTTAAGATTGTATTTTAGACGTGTACAAGCAGTCTCTTTTCTTTTCATTTCTGAAACAATTTTCCTAGACTCTCAACTGACCATGCGATGCTGCCAGACAAGGCTGTTGTGTCAGTTTGACCTTTAGTCTATTTCTAGTGAGGTATTACTGAAAGACCACACACTTGACTTACAGCCTGATTCTTTGTCTCATTGACACCTTTTGATGTTGCAGTCCTTTCTCTTATACTAACTCTCTCTCTCACACACACACACACACACACACACACACACACACACACACACACACGCGTGGATGACAGTTCTGGCCTCCCGCCTCACCTTCAGTGTCAGGGATAATTAAATGTTTTTGCACTGTCCTAGACTGAGGCATTCATTAATCTGAGGCTGAAGGGTGTGAGGGTTTGTGTGTGTGTGTGTGTGTGTGTGTGTGTGTGTGTGTGTGTGTGTGTCTGTGTTTTTATCTTTACTCTTCCTCCATCTACTCTTATCTCCTGTTATTATGCACTCACATTTACAGTTGTATTAATTTGAATATGACTATTTTTGATGAAAAGCTAAACAAGCAGCCATACCTGTTATGACATACAACATCTCCGTGTCCATTAGATCACCTTTTTACCAAAAGCTCTCGGTAGTGACGAGTGGGAAAATGACCAGACCCTATTCACTTCATATACTTAAAAAAAAAACAACCTTTCTCAATCTCCTCTTTCGTTGGTTGTTTTCTAAAAAAGAGTCTCTTTACTCATCTAAACACATTATGCCCCCAGCAACATGACTGCACCAAACTGACCAAAAAGTAGAATTTAGTTGAATGGAAAGTTGAATGTAATTCAAAATCTCACATTATGATCCATATAAAAAGGCATATAATACGTTTTTTTTGTTCACATCACACATAAGGGGTCACCAGAGGCTCACTTACATTTAGTTGAGCTGCCGACAATTTTGGCTCCCACTGCCTGACATGTTTTACTTTTTCGCAACAAAGGCGCTCTGAATTCAAAGAATTTGCTTTTATTTAAATATTTTAATACCTGAATTGCTTTCTACTACAGAGAAGCATTCCCTCAAATTGAAAGAGAAATAGCTTTGCAGTGTTTTAACCTTCACCACAAACACAACAACTGTGTGAACTGACTGAAATACATGCAAATGTGAAACGCTTTTCTGCAACTCACAGCAGCACAATTGGGCTGTGATTATTTTTGTGGATTTATCTCGGCTTTGATACTGTGGATTACAATATGTTACCATGCAGCTTATCTCCCATTGAATTACATAAAAATATGTGTAATTGGTTTTGTAATTACCTATCAAACAAAACACAATGTCTGCATTACTCGCAATTCAATTTGCATTTGATTTACCAATTTGTTCCCCATTCAGTTTCTCATTTCCTATCTCATCAAAAAATTTCAGCTGTAGCCCTGAGCCTTGTTCTGGCATACACCAAGTTCAAGCAATGTCTAAAAGTCCATACGAATGACCAATTGTCAACATTAATCATGCATTAGTTGTAAAATATTTATCCAGATGATGATCATGAATTTATGACTCTGAATTTTCAAGTAACCAAACTCAGTGCCAACATAACTAAATAAATGCCGTGTAGTAGATATAAAAGCGGCGCTCTCAACATTTGAATGTAAAAACATAAAGGACAGCATCAATACTGACCAAAAGTCAAATGTATTATCTGTTTCTGGTTATTGAGAATAAGCTATTTCTTAGTGTACGACGTCACACTTGGTAAGCTCAAGCTACAGACAGGATTTCAGCCCACGTTAGCGTGTTCAATTCAGCTGCAAGCACAAACACCAGAGCTGACAATGCATGTGTCAGGAGTGGGAAATATGTCCTCCAGTACATCACTGCCCACTTAAGTCTGAAATTACAAATCTCACGTTAGCCTGCACTAACAGACCATGATGTTAGTACTGCAGCTAACCCTTGAAATAGCTCCATGTTAGTGACGGGTCTAGCTTTGATCATCCTGGGTGCATTAGTCATGGCTCTATCTGGTTCAGATGACGAGCTGTGAGCCCGGCTTATCTCTCTGCTCCATACTGACATCTCTGCACACAACCTGAGACTGGGTGGTGAACTAATTGTGCTAAACCCTACTGTATTACACCCACTGTTTTATGGGATATGCAGATGAAACAACAGTGTAGAATAGTTTAAACTCAGTGTAAAGTAAAGCTTCAGTCTGGAACATCAATGGGTGTATTTTTTCATCGTTAAACCTGGTAATCCTTAATTATCTGACCGTGTTTCTCACTAGTACAGGACAAATACTTCAGCAAGGAGATATATATATAGCTTAATAAAACATATAGTATATTAAATCAGATAAGTCGAATCAGCTTTAACAACAAGCACATGATGGCCGCATGTTGGCTGAAGATGTTTCTTCCTAAAAAAAAAACTCCCCACCCAGACGATGTTAAAGGTCATGTTGCCTGAACTCACCGTCCTGTACTGTCGTCTTGGCTGAACTCGAGTGAGCTTTAGGGTCCTCATATCTGCCAGGTTCAGCCTCTCGTTCTAAGGGAAATAAAAAAATAAAACAAACACAACAACGATTAGAATAGTTAATACATGCTTAAAGTAGAATTTCAACATGTTTTAACTTCTATTGTGAGATGTGTTCACATATTATCTGCATAGAAGAGAACATTAATTCCACTGTTGTGTCATCAAAGAAGCTGGAGACAGTGGTTAGCTTAGTTTATTTAGAATAACATATTAAAAAACTCTTCTTACCACAGGTCTTAAACTCAAAATGTAAATCCCTTCAAATAAATCTGTAGACTAACATGTTAAACTAGTTTCTGCTGGTTTCCTGGAACAAAAAGGCTTGTCTGTTACTTTGCGTGAAATATTAAAAAAAAACCTAAACTAGATCTGTTTTTTGTACAGATTAAATGTAAACAATTAGGTTTTTATTTAGGGAGAGAGACAGGCCGTTTAACCCTTCTTATTGTCTTATGCTAAGCTAATCGCCTCCTCTACTCCACTCTGCACTTAATGCAGACGTGTTTTGGTGAATTTCTTCTCATTTAACTCAGGTATATTGATTTATTGCTTTTAATCTCCTGTAAAATATTGTGAAATCCAAAGCCAGACTCTGCAGCGCTGCAAAATGACACTCACATTACTTTCCTCGTCTGAGAGCTATAATCATCGCAGCATCATTACCGAGCGCAAAAAAACAAGCAGACTCAGCCAAGGGAGATCAAAGTAATGCAACTATCCATCTCGATACAAAAACACTAATCCATCCTCCCGCTTAGAAACACAGTACAACATCCCATATGGAGGCAGGCCAGCAGTTGCAGAGCCTCG